ACTATATTGATTACAGATTTTAATTTTTACCTAGACAAACTCGCCATCGGTTAATCAATCCCTAAATTTATTAAAATAGATAGGGTTCTTCATGGAGTTTTTTTATAATAAAAGAAATAAAATATTTTATTATAAATAGATACAAAGCTAAGCCAGGGTTTTTCATTTGTTTAGATTCCCTTAAAAAAAAAAAACAAAAATAAACTGGGTGTGAAATTGGTCATATTACAGGACGAGGAAGAATTGAACTTCCAGTTTCTCGGTTTGGAGTCGAGCGCTTTACCAATTAAACTATCATCCTGTTCAGAAGAAAGAGAACTCTCAGAGAGGAATTAAACCTCCAAGAACATGAAGACCAAGCAATTATACTATTATTATACATCAATACTATAATTACAGATTAATACTGTTATTATAGTAAAAGAAAAATCCGAGGCGATGCCGAACTACAAATATATTTATATAAAATTAAATTTTGGGCCCAACCCCGGGCCCCGGTTGTTGGGGGGGGCCGATCGATTACGGGGGGGGGGGGAGGGTGTTAACTGATTGTACAGGTAATTGACCTTCAAACGCATGAAATGCAGGAGGCATAATGATACATCACTCAAGCATTGAACCAGTTTTCGTAATACCGACACCTCTCGAGCTAGTAAAGAAAGCTGGAACGGCCCATGATCGTTAGCTAATTAGAGAAAACAGCAAATATTTGCTAACACGCATAGTTAATCACTATCTGAAGTGCTCTTAAAAGAAGCAGAGGAATCTTCAAGAATAGACAAAATCCATTGGGTTTGAAATAATTTTCCACTTTTAGCATATTTTAAAATAGTCTTATGAGAACAATTAAAGAATTTCCCAGCTTTAGCTGTAGAAGAAAAGGTATTCATTAAAGTAATACCGTCACTACTATAAACATAAATAGGGGGGGTACCTTTAACAATACTCATAGCAGCACTAATTAATGCTTTAGTCCCAGCTGAAAGAGATTTACCAAAATTGTGATTATTCTCACCTATTTTGGCTTCACTCATTTTTGCTCTAGTCTTAGTAGAATGGGAAAAAATTTTACCAAAATTAGGATTATTCTCACCTATTTGGCTTCACTCATTAAAGCACGAGTTTTTTTAGTATACCCTGACCCTAAACGAGACCCTGCTATAGGATTTATATTATATTCAGGCCCCAGAGAATTTATATAATGTTGTTCCCGTCCCAGAATCAATAGACGTGCTTCTTCTTTAGATAAATTTGAGATATCAATATACTCAAGGATCTAAATTAAATGAAGAATGTTCGTATAAAAGTATAGCAGAATAAATATGACTATTTTATAACGATTTAAAAAAGGTAATGAATAATACAGGTATAATTGTTTAGATAAATCAATGGCAGAACCTACATAAATTTTCCCAGATTTCTCATGTGCCCATTTATAAATTCCGGCTTTCCCTTTATTATCTTTTATGATTAATTCTTTATTATTTAAAATATCATTATAAGATTTAACACTTAAAGGTAAAACAGATAGAAGTGAGCATAACGGGTATATTTGTTCATCATAATAATGATTAGGAATAAACAAATGTAAATTAAGCAAAATTTCTGGGAACCCAGATACAAAATTTATTAAATTAAGAAAATTAAACATTAAGAACATTGTTTTTATATAAGTATATTTCATGTTAATTAAAACATGAATTATATTAAACTATCTTTTAATCAATTCTTGTTATTTATACTTTCCCGGTCTCGGTCGCTTTTTGCAATTGTAGGGTGGGTACAATTAAAAATTTCAGCGGCTTTTCTAGTAGAACAAAAAGTATTAACAAGTGAGCCATGAGAATCATAAACAAAAATAGTACCTTTTCCTTTAGCTATACTAATTTTTGCTTTTGCTCCCTCTGTTCTTGCTATTCCTTTTTTGGCCTCACTAAATTTTGCTTTACTCTCAGGTGTATGAATTTGACTATAAAAGGAGGATTTTACCTGTTCTACCATGCATTGGATTTCTCGCACCTGAATTAGCAAGACTCATTTTAGCTAAAAACTCTTCAGAGTGTTTATAACCTAGCGAGGAACCTGTTTTTTTTAAGTATATTCAGGAGAAAGAGTATCTAGATAATGTAGCTCCCTACTCATAATTAATTCTTTTGAATCAGCTTTAGAGAGACCTGTTACATCGAAGTATTCAATAATAGTAAAACTAAATGCTGAATACCCATGATGAAGTAGAGCATTATAGATATAACTATTTTTATAACGAATAAGGGATTCTTTATTATAATAATATTTTAATCGTTTAGATAAATCCGCTGCACTACCGACGTATGTATTACCGGATTCCTTGTGAATCCATTGATAAACTCCAGCTTTATTTTTATTATCGTTTATAATTTCTGATTTATCCATATCAGGCACAATGATAAATCATTACTGGTGAATAAGCACTATAAACATAATCCCTATAGCTATATAATTTAAATAAACATAATCCCTATAGCTATATAATTATTTAAATTATATTCAAAAAAATGACAATAAAGAAACATCGAAAAATAAACAAGTTACAAAGAACCCTGTTATAACTGAGAATAAATATAGAAAGTTGATTTTCATAAATATTTTTTATAAATCTCATAATAATAGCTTCCCTACTGGATGTTTAGCTAATTTATATAAAGATGATATAAAGGTCATTCTTTATATTATAGTAATTTTTCACTTAACTTGACTATATTGATTACAGGTTTTAATTTTTACCTAGATAAACTCGCCATTGGTTAACCAATCCCCTAAATTTATTAAAAATATACTGGGCATGAAATTAAAGGTTATAACACAGGACGAGGAAGATTTGAACTTCCAACTATCGATTTGAAGTCGAGTGCTTTTCCTTAAACTACCATCCTTATCTTTAAAGATATATAGTAAGACAGCTTATCTTTAAATATATATAGTAAAACAGCTTGTCGCCCCCCCCCTCTGTTTAGGGGAACAAATTTTAGTTCTGCTTTAGACTGTGATAAAACCAAATAAATTTGATTAACTTCAAATATAAGGGGTTTATACTATAGCGCAGAATAACAAACAGAGTAAGTTAAACTTTTTATGAGTCACGAGAAAACAGGACCTAAAAGGATTTAAAATAGAGAGATCATATCTCTCTCTAACAGACAAGAAAATATTCAGTTAGGGCATTCTATTGTATATCATCTATTAAAAGGTGATAAAGAAAGCCATTAAGAGCCCTCCGGGGCCCGCCGGGCTAAGGTTCAGCTTCATTGAAAGGAGGGGTAATTAGTAGTTGATAGCTATAAAGAAGAAAAGGGCAATAAATAATGTTAAAAACATTTATGTTACTATTAGGAATTATAACTCTAGTAATGACGATACCATTAGCTTCTCATCTTCTATCAACAATCTTAATTCACAGAATTGCCTTTCTCATATTACTATACAGTAGTTTATTATCATATAATACGTTATATGTAATACCATTATCTTCCGGTATAGGAATATTAGGAGGGTTATTTCAACAAACAATTTTATCTCAAAGTATAGAAATATTTATATTAATTATAGGTAGTATAATTTTATTATTAGTACCTGAAGGGAAAGGAATAAATACAAAATTAGTTTCTTTTTATAAAAATAATAATTTAGAAAATATTAAAGATCATAACAAAACTGCAACTTTATGGGATTATTGGGATAATCTATCATCTAATGTTAAAGAAGTTTTATCCACTTCAAATAAAACTAATAACAGTATAGGATTAAAAGATTACCCTTTAATTATATTATTTACGACATTAGGGATGTCCTCATTAATATCTAGTTCTGATTTAATTACTATGTTTTTAGCAATAGAATTACAAAGTTTTGCTTTATATATACTAGCTACTATGAATAGAAATTCAGAATCAGCAGTAGCTGCAGGATTAAAATATTTTTTACTTGGAGGTCTTTCTTCTTGTTTTATCTTATTAGGTTCAACATTAATATATTCTTATACAGGTTTAACAAATTTTGAATCCTTGAACATTTTACAAAGTGTTATTGGTCAATCATTTGAAGGAATTTCTTATAATTATTTTGCTATAGGTTGTATAATTTTAACAATTGGGTTTTTATTTAAAATTGGAGCAGCACCATTACATTCATGGGCTCCTGATGTATACGATGGAGTACCTACTATGGTTACAACTTGGTTAACAATAATGCCTAAATTGTCAATTTTAATATTTTTTATCATGAATAATTTTTTAATAGAACCTAATTTATTAATGATCTCAGCTTTATTATCATTATTATTAGGGTCTATAACAGGATTAGCTCAATATAGAATAAAACGATTATTAGCTTATAGTACTATCTCACATATAGGTTTAATTCTTTTAGCTTTAGGGAATGAAAGTATAAATGGATTAGAAAGTACAATATTCTATATTGTACAATACTCAATAACAAGTTTAAATACTTTCTTAATTTTAATTCTAATAGGTTATACTTTAAATATTAATAAAATTATATCTGTTTATTCACCAATCCAATTTATATCCCAATTTAGAGGTCAATTCTTTAATAACCCTACACTTAGTATTGCATTCGCATTATCATTATTCTCTATGAGTGGTATCCCACCATTAATAGGATTTTTTGGTAAGTATTTTGTAATTAATTCAGCTTTAATGAACGGTAATTATTTTTTAAGTATAGTAGTAATTGCCTCAAGTGTAATTAGTTCTGTATATTATCTTCAAATAATTAAAACATTACTTTTACCTGATAATTCTTTAACTGACTTAGATGTCGAGTCCTCATTAATTAGAAGTAATAATTTATCACCAATATTAGCTTACATAGTGGCAATATTAACCTTATTTATTATTTTCTTCATGGTTTACCCTACACCAATATTAAATAGTATACATCTGATTACTACAAGTATATATTATTTCTAATGAATTCATTTTTATTTTATTTTATATTAGTACCGGTAATAGTTATAGCCTTATTGGCTCTTAACCTTTTCTTTGCAACTTCTAAACCTAATGAAGAAAAACTTTCTACGTTTGAATGTGGATTTAGCCCTGTGGAACAAGCACGGCAAAAATTCTCCATTCATTTTTATTTAGTTGGAATTCTGTTCCTTGTCTTCGATTTGGAAGTGCTTTTATTATTCCCGGCTGCTGTTTCAATGTATAACATTTCTCAATCCGGTTTTTGGATTCTAGTATTCTTTTTAGTAGTACTTACTATTGGATTTGTATATGAGTACGCTTCAGGTGCTCTTAA